TCATATTAGCAGGAAGGCCTAGGGGAATGAACCTTGTCCGGAGTTCATAGTATCCATGATCATTTTGAGAATTGGGACTCTGGAAATGATCATGCGCACGTTCGTCTAGATCTTACTTCTAATATAACCAAGTTGCGAAACCAAGGTCGAACAACTTCTATTTTCAATTAAGTTTGTGTAATTTATTGTAACACGATAAGAAAGATGAAACATCAATGCTCTAATTATTGATAAATCCAGCAAAATTGGAAATTGATAACTTTAGGTAGCGGTCGAAAATCCAGGTGTGAAAAATCGCGATTTATAGAAGCGCAAAACACCACAAAGCCAAATGAGTGAGCCTAATTTACAGAACAGTTGAAAAGTGAAGTATTCGGTTTCATGAAAAGTGTCAATTGTGTCCTCCTTTCGATCAAAAATATTTTTCGGCTTCGTTATTTTCTTAAGGAGACTAGTCACTTGGCTATTTCTGATTTACTTGTCAACAGAGAAGAATTTTTGGAGAACGAGAAAAATATAATGGCTTTATAGGGAATAACTCCATCAATGGTCTCCCCAAAAAACACCAAATGTTGTCACCCGATGTCATCCAACGAAAGTCACTTCTTTCTATCTTTAAAATTGTATTCCAGAAAGTAAGAAATGATTTTATGTAGAATTAAATGTAAAAGCCTAAAACACAAACGTCTCTTTCTTCTTTTGGACTCAGAAAACTGCATGTTAATTGATTTCGGGCCTTATGGTCTAACCTACATTTTCATCAACAAACACGCATTCCTAACATTCTCCATTTAGTTCATGACAACCGATTAATCATAATTGTTAAAAGGGTATTACTGGTTCTCTTGAGTTAGCTACTGCCCAGGGCTGATGAGCACAAAGTATGTAGGAGAGCCTATTCCACCCAAAGTAAGGGAAGAGGCTTATGATTGCGCTCTTCATTTCGGAAAAAAGGTTCGCTTCACTTCATTTGCACCAGATGGGGGGGGGTCAGAGTGACCAATTTTCGCTTCCTCCACTTCTTAACCATCTTGGCATATGCACTTCTACTCCATATTCTGCTTTGCGAAGGGGTCTCAATCGCGTCTGCCTCAACATCCCAGACGGTTGGCGCTCTGGTGATGTGCCCTCACGTAACCAAATTAGGGACAAGACTGAGCTGACTTGCACCACTTGCGCAGGAATACGATGAAGCTTTTTGTTGGTCGTTCTAACAATAAGACGTCGTCCGATTCTGCTAGATCAAGCTACAGAACTCCTCAATACACCCCTTCATGGAGAACTTTATACTATCATGTCACTGAAGAGGCATAGCTTAGGGTTACTTAAGGACTGATAGTACAGTTTCCTCACGACAAAATATGTAGACTTCACTATACCATGAAATGTCATTTTACCTCGCTTTCCAGAAGGCTATTTCGTCCAGAGTGGATGCCAAGTGGGAATGGATACAGGGCCGTCAGTATCATAGAAACATTTACCACTCCAGCAGACGGTCAGAGGGCAGATGCAATATTCAAGGCAAACTAAACCTCTCCCGACTCCCATTTATAATCGATTAAGCAAGCATGTGTTTTCAATGCAATCAATGGTATTACTTAAGTTAGATGTGATTAGCATTCGAGACTGTCGTCAATACTTGAATAAAATTAATGATATGAGATGTAATTACCATATTTCGTCTAAGGTGATGAAGGGCTGATGGTAGAATCTCCCACAATGATATGAGTAGAGCTAACGTTTCCATTCAATTTCACATAGCCTTGCTTACCCAAAAGTTGTTCTCATCCAGGCAGAAGTGGACTGCAGTTTCGACCTCGCATTGGTCTTATTAACACCCTCAGCGGGATTCGAACCGTGACAGTGCAGAATGTAAGCTTGACATTTTAACGACTCGGCCACATTTCCACGAGTGCCCTCGGGTCACAGGGCAGATGTGAATTTCAAGAAAGGCCAGGCCTTTTCCAATATCACATTCTTTGGTGGGATTGCCGATGAAGCAAACGTACTTTTGCTATAACAATAGACTACATTACTTATTTTTCGTATATAAGTAGAGTTTCGAGG